TCACCTGAACCATCGTTGACACTTACGAACGTTAAAACATTTCCATAAACGTCTTTATTATTCTTTATGGCTACACAGACGTTGTTTCTCTTCTTGTATTCAAACAGCATTACATGCCGAATGTGTGTCTCGTCGTGTGTCATCACTATAAGGGATTAGGGTATAATCAACTTTACACATTATACAGGCTACACCAACGTGACGTTTAGGCGGTTCGTTTAACTATTATATATTGAAATCTTTATCATATCGCTGCAATATATGATATATGTTGCCCTATAAAAATTCAGTCTTCTTTCAACCTTGTAGATAAATGTTAAATAGTTCATTAAAACACCAGTAATAAACCTTGTATGAGTTGACATGAAATATTGGTCAGTTAAATATTGTTAAATAAAAAAGGCACCACTTGAAACTTCACATCAGTATAAATTTTGTTAAGATATCACAAGAACTGATTATGTTATTGCAGATTTAGTGATTTAGGACCACAGCTTTTTGGGTGAAATTTGTGACAAGGATACCTGTAGATATCCATGTTAATATGTCAAAACGGTTTAATTATTTCACAACCATTTTTTGGGCTTAATAGATACTAATATATAATCAAAATATAGGTATGCCTTGATCTACCAGAGAGAACCTCATGCAATGAAATATATATATTACCGTCTTCAGAGGAAAGTCTTAATATTTTATATGCCTGTAGATTTAATATAGATACTTTAGTATTTTAATCCATTTTACCAAAACTGAACCTATCATACTGTAAAAAATATTTTTGCTAGGTTTTTATATTATCTTCTTACTCCACAAGTATAATAAATTGCCGAGTCTTCAAGAAAAAGAAGGATTTCAAAGTAAAGGAGGAGGTGGGGTTGATACATCATCTCCGATAAGGGAACCAGCAAACAGTCTGCTAGATACAGTTGGAAAAGCTGTAACAGCTGACGTTTTCTGTGACAACAAACGACAAACACAGAAATTTTATTATTCCTGGGTTATATCTGTTCAAACTCAAACCTTATATTAGCTACTTTTTTGTTATTGCTTTCATTTGTAACATTAAACATGTGTTCAGCTTCTGTAACTTGTAGTTTTGCGCCACGTTATCAGCATAGTTATTATCGTACATGTCTTATCCTGAAGGAGGTTATTTTAGAAAATGTATTGTTGAATAATTGTTATAAATTATCCTGCTCTTCTATCGGCATCTGAGGTATGCTGAAATAAATCGCACCTCGTACTGTTTGACTTAAATGTTTAATATATCAAAAGTAGCGCTTCAAAAGATTTTTAGTTAATATCATTGGGATTTAGGATGATTATTCTTTACATTTCATCTTCCTCCAGAGTTTGAGAGAAAACAAGATAAAGGATTATATATATTAGGTCGTCAAGAAATTAATATCGCGTTTGGAAGACTTTCATTAACCACCATCCCAAAAAACGTTCATCACGTATAATAGTTAAACGAACCGCCTAAACGTCACGTTAGTGTAGCCTATATAATGTGTAAAGTGTAATGTGTACACTCTAATTCCTTATAGTGATGGAACACGACGAGACACACATTTGGCATGTAATTCTGTTTGAATACAAGAAGGGAAACAACGCCTCTCTGTCCACAAAGAATAATAAAGACGTTTATGGAAATGTTTTGAACGTTCGTAAGTGTCAACGATGGTTCAGCAAATT